GCAGCAAGAAGGTTTCGGTCATCCCTTGAGGGTGAGTCTAGCCCTGCTCGCCAGAAAGACCCCCCCCTTCACTACAACCCATGTCTAAGCAAAAGCTCGTCGAGGAGCGAGGGGAAGAAGGGAGAAGAGTATAATACATAAGAAGAAGAAGAAGACGAAGAAGAAGAATAGTCATAATAATAACATAATATTTGACAGTTTCGGAAGTATTCTGGGCAAAAGTTCACTTTCACTTTTAACAGCACCATTCCTGGGACCAGTCCCGCTTTTCCGAAGGTTTTACTTTTAACGATGACATCACATCATGTCACCATGAGGGAATTTGATCAGCACGGCACGCGACCAAGTCACCATATCTCCCAAACAGATGCTTGTATTCAGGTGAAACCTTCGACGCTGTGTCCACAGCTCTGAGGTACCTTGCCACCAACCGAGATGGGTCTGAGTGGAGCGTTCGTTGTGAGCGTCTTGTGAGAGAGGACGCGACGTTTTTAAGGTGGAATGCATATATATATATATATATATACATATTATACATATGCACGCACCCAGACGGGGTGTGCGCACGCAGTAACAAACGCACGCAGCACGCCCAAACGCTCGTCGCTCTCTCGCAGCGCATCCCGCCAATCTTCAAGCCAGAGCCAACACCGCACAAGGCAGCAAGATAACCTAGGATTTGTTGTAGATAATGCTGCACTACATCGTGTAGTAGGTGTCCAGCCGCTGCTGCTGTGGGCGGGTGTGTGTGTGTTCGAGAAAAATATGAGCGAGCTGTGGCCCAACATCAATTTGACAAGCCTACACCTTCGTCAGCGCCGAAGCAGGAGTCCTCCCACTGCTGGCAGTAAGCTCTGCGACCGACCGCGGGCACGCGTTGGTGGGGTGAGGTGTGCAACAGCACCCATCCTGTCGTGGTGTTGACCAAACTAGCTAAAAGCTGGAAAATGAAAAAACTTGAAAAAGTTCAGCTTCAACAGACGTTAGCTGCCCTTCGTGCTGAAAAAATCTTCCTAGGGTCGAAAGTTCATTTTAACGGCGGCCATAAACTGGCTACTTTCCCCGAAAAGTGAAAGCGAACTTTTCCAAAGAGGAGTGGCCAAAATCGGGCACACCCGGCCCCAATCCGGCCATTATCGGGTACCTCGTATTACACAGTCGGCAGCGCCCTCCTGGCGCCATCTGATGGGCCGACGCCCGCCCCTACCCTGCCATGACCCTATTCCCATCGGGTGCACCCGATCTTGGCTACTCACCCCCCGGAGGGGTACCCGATCTTACTCTCGCCTACCCGAAAATGGCTGGGCTATTCGACCAACAAACCACCAGCAGACCACGCTCACGAACACACGTCACCAACACCCCGCACTCGAGTTCCGACGCTTCCGACGGCGGGCGGAGGCGGACCTAACACGGCTAACGCGGCGGAACTCTCCTTTGAAGTGGGTCAGTGGATCTCTCTCCTGCAACGCGGCGGAACTCTCGTTTGAAGTAGATCTCACTCCTGCAAGTAGATCTCGCTCTTCAACCCATCAAGTCTCTTGTGGTTAATCTCGGCACTCGTGCCTGAACGGTAGACTGGCATCGGCAGAATATGAGCGATGAAGTAGACAACACCGCGGCCCTCGCGCAAGGCGCGTGCTACTTCACCACTAGCCATCTTAGGACATCGTTCATGCTGCGTGTACCACCACTCTCTCTATCTTTCCCCATCTCCTGTGGCAAGCCCGCAGTTCCTTGTCTCTCCCACGTACTCACGAGAGGTCAAAGTCAAGGAATACCATCGCTGTTTAATCTGAGGTCCCACGGCATCCACTGCTTGCTGCTGCTGCATTACTGTACGATCCACTTCCTACACAACAATGTATCATTTATCTCCGGTCTTGATCGAGACATAACCACGGCATCCACTGCTTGCTGCTGCTGCATTACTGTACGATCCACTTCCTACACAACAATGTATCATTTATCTCCGGTCTTGATCGAGACATAACCACGGCATCCACTGCTTGCTGCTGCTGCATTACTGTACGATCCACTTCCTACACAACAATGTATCATTTATCTCCGGTCTTGATCGAGACATAACCACGGCATCCACTGCTTGCTGCTGCTGCATTACTGTACGATCCACTTCCTACACAACAATGTATCATTTATCTCCGGTCTTGATCGAGACATAACCACGGCATCCACTGCTTGCTGCTGCTGCATTACTGTACGATCCACTTCCTACACAACAATGTATCATTTATCTCCGGTCTTGATCGAGACATAACCACGGCATCCACTGCTTGCTGCTGCTGCATTACTGTACGATCCACTTCCTACACAACAATGTATCATTTATCTCCGGTCTTGATCGAGACATAACCACGGCATCCACTGCTTGCTGCTGCTGCATTATGTGTACGAACGACCCTCTGCGTACACAACAACGTGTCATACATCTCCGGTCTTGATGTGTCTATACATGTATTCCAGACGAAATCGACACCCTGATGCTTCTGTGCCTGATGCTTTCGTGGACACATCTGAGCTGCGTCATGTATTTGTGTGCAGCTCAAGTGATCACGTGAGGTATTGAGAGGTATTCATCCACCGCCGCCCGCCTGGCCCTCTCTCTCCTCCCTCTCCCTGTCTCTTATACACATCTGGTANCGTCGGAACTCGAGTGCGGGGTGTTGGTGACGTGTGTTCGTGAGCGTGGTCTGCTGGTGGTTTGTTGGTCGAATAGCCCAGCCATTTTCGGGTAGGCGAGAGTAAGATCGGGTACCCCTCCGGGGCGTGAGTAGCCAAGATCGGGTGCACCCGATGGGAATAGGGTCAGGGTCGGGTAGGGGCGGGCGTCGGCCAATCAGATGGCGCCAGGAGGGCGCTGCCGACTGTGTAAAACGAGGTACCCGATAATGGCCGGATTGGGGCCGGGTGTACCCGATTTTGGCCACTCTTCTTTTCAAAACGTACATCCGAAACTCGCCAGTAATAATAATATAGCAACGACGATTCGCCCATACGGCATGAACGTTTTTCAACCACATCTCGTGTGAATGGGGTGTGTTCCACATACATTTCGAATTCGGGAACGGCAACGTTCCCTGGCAGAGGTTTTTCGACGGCAACGAGCTCACGCAAATACTCTCGGCTATCAGGGAAGAAGAAGTCCAGAGCAGCAAGCCACACACTGCTGCGCATGAATCATCCCACACTCTTGAAAACAGGTGCAGCGTCAAAACGTTTTTTTTTTTTCAAACGCATCATCATGGTGGCAATCTCAGCCTCGCTACCCAGTTGCAACCACTGAATCGACGCAAACGCCCATACTTGTGTGATTCCCTACCGTCCATGCGCAAAAAGGCAGCAGCGATGCCCACCGTGCGTGCGTCTCATGCGAGAGAGGAGTTGTGGCAACCAGAAAATTTGAAATGGTAGGCTACAGCTCACAATTAGACCATCTTTTCCGTGTACTCAACAGCGACAATTTCCCAAGTGAAAAAGCAGCCGCTGGGTCCTATACAAGCCATCGCTCACTCACCATCCAATGGAATCGATCATCGCTAACCTTTGCAGTCTCAACCTGTCAGCTCTCAATCTGTCAAGAAGGAGCAAGCCAGCAAGACGCGGCAGCGGCGGCGGAGGGAGCGAGGAGCGCGAATTCGAGGGTCTCGTAAAGAGGGAAGAGGCGTTGCGGTTTGTCATGAAACCGCCAAATTCCGAAGTTTTGTCCGACGAAAATATATCTTGTTTTTTGCCGAGTAGCCGCACGTCATGTTCCTGACTTCTGGATACCATCAGTATGCTAGCTGCCAAACGAGGAGAAGCGAAGCGGTCTTATCCGTGCCATACAACTCCGTCCCAGACGGAGCGTTGTGTGTCGCATGAGAGGGAAACGGGCACCGACGCGCGGTGGCACGCGTCATTGCAAGACATAAAGCGCGGCACAAGAACCATCGCCCGAGGAGCATATCAACGTTTATGCATACACGATCATACAAACAGGATCCACGAATCTCTCCGAAGGACACTCCCATTTACCAACAAAAGCCCACCGCCGTGATAGCAGAGGAAGAGGAGTAGCCGCTGCACGAGTATGCAGCCAATCCCAATCGACTTTTCGTCACCGTTTCCGACACGGCAGCAGCAGTCCCCTCGAGGTGGAGACGGACTGGCAGACTCGACGTCCTACCGACGGGGTGATCTTAGCGGCGGGGGGGTCAGCGGCGTTGGTGGACGAGAACCAAGCCCGCTCTTCCGAAGAACAAACAACAACGCCCAGCAGGATCGAAACAACTCCAATCCGGGCTTGCACGCCTTGCGCCAGATCGCCTCCGACGCAACAGCCGCGTCTCCTTCTCCTGGTCCCACGCACGTCGTGGCGCGTCCGCGGACGACGGGGTCGATGAGCCAGTACTTGGGCCAAGCCAGGCCACAATCGATTCGCTCGATCCGTTCTACGGCACACAGCAATAACAGCAGACCGCCGAGCGGTCATCAGCAGCAACAGCAGCAGCCCCGTCTTACACGCAACATTACCCTAGGAGATCTTCGGTGGACTCCCCCCGCTGCCGTTGGTTTGGGCGGGAAGCATGAAGAGGGTCGTGACGATACTGGGGGTGATACTAGTGGGGGCGGCGGGGATATGATAGCGAGGCGAGGTTGGCCAGCGGGGGCCACGCTGGGGGGCGGAGGCATTGGGGCTGTGGGCGGTAGCGCACACCCACTCATAGTAAGACAGAGCAGCAATGGCCACTCGAGGCCAGGCAGCCCTGAAGTAGTCACGGGGGGAAGGGGGTCGAGGTTGCCACTATTGGACTCTACACCGACCCTCCCACAACAGCAGCAGACCCAGCGACAGCGTTGCATGCATGTTTCACCTGAGAGCAACGATCTCTTCGAGCACGGGCTCTCGTTCGGTGTTTCGGCCCTGAAGGGCCGCAGGCCGTACATGGAAGACGAGTTCAAGGTATGCTTCGCAACCACCTATGATTCCGACGGTAGGACTAGCCTATTATAGCTGTGCTTCTACGCAAACGTTCCGAACGTTTTGAATCATAAAACCTTTGGGGCCACTCGTCCGCCACACGAATGTCTAAGTGTGAATGACGCACACACGACCAGCTCGGTTTACTGGGTAGTAGTAGTGGGACGGGGATATACGAGGAAAATGAGGGGGTACTCGAATATAATATTTATCGTACACTGTCCTTCCTGTCACAGCGGGGCTATACTTTATCAATGCCATTAATAACCCTGTCGTTCTTGTGAAATCCATGTACAGCTGTCCAGTACGTCCAAATGCTCGCAGGGTGTTCCGAAAGCACATTAGTATGTACCTGCGCCGCTGTCGGCCGATGCACCCGTGCAACATGCTTCCCACAATCTCCCGAAATCAAACCCGTTGTCTTTCAAACCAGTACGCCAGATATTGCATTGCACATGCTGCACTGACCCGTTCTTTGCGCAGGTCATTCCAAACCTCGAGCTGAATGGGGGGGCTAGTGACTTGTTTAGAAGAGAGGGCAGAGACATGGAGCCTACCCACTTTTTCGGGATGTTCGATGGGTAAGTGGGTCAGTAGCCGTGTGGCGATTACGGTAGTTGTTGGGGGACTGTGTGTGTAAACTGTGCCATCATTTCCCTCCTTGCCCCCTCCTCTTGGGTATTTTCGCGAGCTTTTTCCCACACGGCGAGAGGCCACGAATACGAGAAAAAACCTTCATTGGATAACCTGTTGGGATGTGTATCTCGGACAAATGCTCCCGCACTGTTGTTCCTGATTGCTGTTGAGATAACTGTCCTTTGAAAGCAACGAGTAAGATAGGTGTGACCATGGGCCTCTGTCTTTGCGGCACTGCCCTGTGAACTACGGCGACCCTGGACCATGCACCAGAGATGCATGGCCCAACATCCGAAGTAAGGTTGCAATGGTATCATGGGAAACTCTTTTCCCCCGTTTTCATAGAGCATCCCTTGGCTCACTGAAATACAGGCGCCCGCAAACGCGTTTCTCGGTCAAACACAGCAACCGAAATCCTGGAGGTAGTGGCCAAAGCGTACATGACCCGAGTCTTTGCTCTCATGGTTGGCATGCCAAGAGGAATACTCTGGGTCTCTTAACCTATGATTACGTCCCTCATGCGTATCCATTACCCCAATCCCACTACGGGGCTGGCTGCGAGAATAACAAGAGGCGGTTGGTTCGGTGGTGCATTATTGATCACCTCTGGCACCGGCGAAGAAACGCTTATTGCCATCGACCCTGTCACCCTGTTCGAAAAAAAAGGCACGCCGGCGGAAGATGCAGCAAAGCCCTAACGCACATCCTAGGGCAGACAGTGTCCCGTGAGCCCGACTTCAGCGTGGAACTGCAGTCGGCCGTGCACAAGGGGTTCCTTCGGGCCAACGCAGAGTTTTTGCGCAAGGCAGAGAGGTTCTGCGCTAACGACGGTGGGGAAGCGGGTGTAGGGTACTGCCAATCTTGCGTATGCGGCGATCATACGTTGCTGTTGCTATCGTGCGATGTTCGTACAGGGTGATGCGTGTTCCTACATGAACGATTTAAGGCTGCACGCACGAAATGAAGAACGACTGAGAAACGAAAGGTCGTCATGGGATAGGGCGGGAGGACGTTGCTAGCAGTATCAGGGGCGAGCAGCAGGGCATGACGTAGGCACTGGCGGCGCCCGGCAATCTCGCTAATTCTCTCTATCGGGCGTTCCGACGTGCATGCTGGTACATCACCCCGCCACCACCACGACCACCACGACCGAGTTTCTTTCCCTATCGCTCGACCGAGAAGGTTCTACGGCGGTAACGGCGTTCGTGCGCGGGCGACGCTTGGTGGTCGGAAACGTGGGCGACTCCCGGGCCGTGCTCTGCTCCGACGGGCGGGCGCTTCCGATGTCGAGCGACCACAAGCCGAACAAGCCGGAGGAGAGGAGGAGGATACAAGCGCTGGGCGGGCGGGTAGTGTACAGCTTTGGGATTCCAAGGGGTGAGTGCAGACGATGACGTTCGAGCCCTACGTAGCAAGCAGTCAAGCGCCGAGGTTGCGCATGAATAGAGAGCACACGTGGACATCGATTTGAACTGTGTAATCTCTCTCTCTCTATGCACCTTCCTGCTATTCATTTTCGGAAGCCTAGCTTTACCGGTGGTTCTCCATTGGACAGTACACGTGTGGGATTCGCGATGAGTGTCGTGTACCGAACCCCTGTTTTCCACGGAAGTCATCCCTCTAATCGGTTAGTTCGGAATGGAGGTCCTGGAGTTCTGAGCGCTTGTTCCTGTGAGGGTGACAGCAGCAGCAGCAGCAGTACCCGCAGCAAGAACGCCTCGTAAGAAGCAGCGTCACATGTCCTGTCCGATGATGGCACGTTTAAATGAGAGTGTGCGAACGAGAACGAAGAGATCGTATGTGGTGTAAGATGGGCCGCCACGGTCTGATGGGAGTGATCTACTAGTCATAGGAAGAACACACCCTTACTCAAGCCCCCCAATGTACCGTTTTTCTTAAGCCCCCACAACCGAAAGTTGGGAAACTGTAACGTTCGACGTTTCGGCACACCCACCGTCGAACAGCATGAAAAACATGAAGAGGCTACGGCCCAAGCCAGTGACACTTGCCCCGAGACTCCCCAAGGTCCTCAAACACGTCCCACGGCTGAACACCAACAACCAAACATGACCTCCCCCCCGCTATCCGTGCCAATTGATCACGGCCACCCACCACCCGACGAACCCGAGTAGTCAACGGCATCTTGGCGGTGTCGCGCGCCTTCGGCGACCGCAACATGAAGGGGGTCGTCAACGCCGAGCCGGATGTGCGCGAACGCGGCCTGGAGCGGCACGACGACTTCCTGGTGCTGGCCACCGACGGCCTCTGGGACGTTATGACCAGCCAGGAGGTGTGCAACATCGTCTACAACTCCGTCCCGGACATGGGTCCGCAGGTCTGTGGGACGATTCATGTTTATATTTCACGCTTTCGTACCGCTTTGCCGGGGCTGGGAAGAGAAGTGGCGGGACATTTCACGCGATGCTGCTGTGCCCTCGGACGCGCTGTGTCCGCCGAGGACGGACACGTATACGTCGAAAACGTTGGCGGCATTTCTATCAGGCATTTCCTTGTCGACGGAGGTTTTTCTTCTCGATCCTGTCGCATTGCCTTTGTCACTCTCGCCCTGTTAGCAACATTGTTCCAAGCTCCCGGGAGTACGACTTCGTTTCCTTGTGCCCAGTGTTGCACCTCTGCATCGGCTGCTTAATCCCAGCAAACGAACGCGCCAGTTGCGGAGATATCAGACTACAACGTTTGCGAAGTTAACGGCTTCTTGGAAGAAGGCCCAGTCCTATTTAGCTGCTGGGCAATATCCAAACCAAGCACGAGTCCACGAAAATATGTCCCCTTAGAAAACCATATAAAGTTAAAATGACCGAAGAAAAAAATGTAGAGCCCCGTGAAGTAAGGAAGGCACAAGGCACAATGGCCAACCGATACCTCCAAAATATGGCAGGCTGTTTCGTTGTAGCGTGGCTTGGCTCGCTCACAGGCCAGGTTTATCTCATATCCATCGCTCATGTTTATCTCGCGATTGTTTGCTTTTTGCGCGAAAGGGGTGCTCCGAGCTTCTCACCACCATGGCGCTACGGAAGGGGTCCCTGGACAACACCAGCGCGATGGTGGTCGACCTACGAGGTATATGGGACGTCGTCGGAGGGGCACAACCGAAACGCGCGGGAAGCGTTGCCGTTGCTGCTGCGGATGCTGAGAGTGCCGGCACTGCCATCCTGAGACAAGAGCTTAAGGCGCTCTCGCCCTCTTACTTTTCGTCGAAACAGGCCCTAGTCAATGGTGGTGGGAGTAGTGGCAACGGCGTCGAGCCAGATGGTGCCGGTGCCGCGGGGACAGGCGATAGGTCTAGGCCTTCTTCGTCGCCAGGCCTTTGGGCGTTTTCGCAGGTGCACGTAGTTGGAAAAAGGAAAAGCTATGTATTTCAAAAAAAAAAGTACCGGAGTTGATATTTTTCCTACTTCCCTGCCGTGGCTTGCGTGCGTACAGCAGTCCGTTCCCGCTACAAATGTTGTTATTGTCGCTTCGTTCACACCTTGTTAAAGCCCGAAAACATAATCAGCCTCAACCTCTCTCTGCCCGAGCTTCAACACTGTACGTTCATATGTCGCCGGCGAAAACGACCGCGACGGACAAAGTTGACCGTTGCCCAAACGTCATGTCCCCACCTACCCACCAATCCATCCTCCCTTGGGCCCGTCAACTCGCCGTTCGGTTGCGGGTCTGAACTTTTTGGGAGGATCACGCCGTCCTCGACATTTCAACATCGACCAGGCAGCGCAGTTTAGGCCACGTATTCATGCCCCTTTCGAAAGTTTCTGGTAGGGCCCAACGATCCCGCTCAATAGTTTTTAATGGCCCTGAAGCGCCACGGAAGTAGCGCACATCGCGCCTGTCCCGACGAACGGTATTTTTTCACCGTTCCACACCCAGAAAAACATGGGCGATTTTTCACTCAATCAATACGGGGCTGAAGCATCACCTTCACAAATATGTCGGCGTCTTTTCCTCCTCCACGCCCTGCGCCTGCTCAAGTTCGGACGCCAAACGGGAATCAAAATCGTGCCTTGGATTGTTACGTTCGATTCTTCAAGCACCCAGTGCATCGACTCATCACTTTCTTTTTTGTTTCCGTGTCCGAACAAAGAACAAGCAACGTACTGAGCTACGCCTTGCTGCTTCCACCAGGCTCATCAGAACGGCAATATGGAGCAGGGCAACACCGTCCCCTCAGCGCGGAACTCGCTCGTGCCAAGAACGAAAGCCGGGGGGAACGGCGTGACAAACGGAGGAGGAGGCGGTGGTACCAAGCGGGGCGCTGGAATCGCGAATGGCGCCAGCGGGCGCTCAGGTCAGAAAAAGACGCAGCAACAGCAGCAGCAGCAGCAGCAACAACAACAGCAGCTCCGCAACTTTTCTTCCCGCCGAGGAGCAAGTAAAGGTCAACAGCAGCAGCTTCAACAGCAACCTATCGCCGATGCTGACGGCGCGACGATCGCTGCGGGCACTTTTTCCGCCGCGGCGTCGTCACGGCAGCATCCGCTAGAGTCTGGGGCAGGGAGGGGGGGAGGGGCAGGGGCAAAGGGGGCGAGAGGCGGCAGTACTGACTCGTCGATAGCTTCTTGGTCAAAGATGATGGCTTCCAAGGCGTGGGGAATGAGCGTCGCTACTGGCTCGGCTTGGAGCTTTGCCGGCGGCGGTGGCGGTGGCGGTGGTGGCGGTGGTGGCGGCGGTGGTGGTGCTCCAGGCCATACCATGTCGCCATCAGGCCATACGAATAGTACGGAGTTGGCAATGAGTCTCTACGGTGGTAGTGGCGACGGGGGTCGTTCTCGTTCGCATGCTCGCAGGTCATCGACGTAAAAACAAACGATAATATTCTAGGCTGTGGAGTGTTGTGTAATTGTGAAAAGACGATTTTCTCCGCACGGTTTGCCCCCCCTCTCCTGCGGACTCCCCGTCCCTCACGCACCTGCAGCGCCTAACAACAACGGGGCATGCCGATGGTAACGATGGTATGAAGCTGGTGTAAGAGTGTATCCCGAGGGTAGATAGAATGAACGGTGGGTGATGTAACGTGAGCTGGGAACGCGGCATTGCAGCAGAATGGATGGTGATAATGAACGTTATTCCAATCAATGGGCGAGGTCGGGCGAAGTAGTGTGAATATCGCGATTAGAGGTTATCAGAGAGACGGGGGGGGGGAGGGGGAAGGGCAGACCGACGGGCGCAAATGATGGCAGTCTGGAAGTGTGAAGTTGTTAGGCAGGCGAGTAGTAATTACGAGCGTGTATGAATGGCGCGATCGTGGGTGCGTGGTTGAGTTTCATTTCTGCAAACTCGGCTGGTTGGCCATTTGCCGTTTTTGGAGATACTGTAGGTGGCCGCCGGTACATTTTCGAATTGAGAAGCTCAAGTTGGCGGGAAGGTGAAGTTTAGCCTTCGACGCTTGCCGCAACGTGGACGGTCCTTCGGTAGCAACAAGTTTGTGTAGGGTGTCGTTTGGGTCTGTTTGCTTGCTTGCGTTCAACGAAAGAAAGCGTTTTGTTTGCACGCGGTTTACGAATTCGGGGTGTGATCTTCACAAGGGCACACGAACAGCACCATCGTCAGTCCATCGAACGAGATGCGATCACATTCTTGTTGTGCATGTGCACCGCTTGGGTAATAAGATCACAAACCGTAACCCGTATGTCGCACCTCCATCCTGGCGCTCGCCGGCGTTGGATGTTGTGCGGAAGGTCGACAAAAATCTAACCACGCCAAACCAGGACAATAACAACAGCAACAACAACTGACCGGGTAGTCAATTGCAGGTTCTAGAGAGAGCCCACGACCAGCACTGAGCCGCACACTTCGGCAGTGGGCGAGACTGTCCTCCCAAAGGCACGTTCAACGACAAGGAGCATAGACGTTGGGGGGGACACGCGTACATAACGCTCGCCATGGGGGGGCAGACAACAGTGGCGTGCGCCCGCCGAACAATCAACACGAAAATGTGTGGCTCCGGTGGGTATGGAGCGTTATGGAGAGCGCGCGCAGGACAAAGAACCTTGAAGAAACGAGTCAAAACACATTGAACATTTTTCTATCGTACAACAAGACAAATTGAGATTATACCATCGATCGATCCGAAAAAACCCTCATCCGCTACACACACAGCAGTAGAAGAATCCAACACTCGCACACCCGCCTCTGCCCAACATACTCCCCAGCAGTCTCCTCAATTCTCTTCTTGTCGTTGGCGCCCGCCCACATGTTCACCCGGCTACCACCCTACCACGGATCCGAGCATTCCCTACGCTATGTAGCTGGTCTACTGAGCTTCCCCCGACAATCCGAAAAAACACACACTCGATCGTACGTACTCGTTTAGAGCACGCACCACTAAATAACTTGAGTCCCTTAAGCCCTTCTGGTTCTCCCGCGACAAGGACATTCCTACCTCCTACCGCAGCTGCTCCTGGGCGAGAAACGGCCGTTGTTGCAAAACTCCTGGCAGACTTTGCTTCCGCCTGCCGACGCGGGTGTACCCGCTCGTCCATTCAACGGGATTGAAACATTCACAAGACCAACTACCTGACTCGACGACAACAGTTTTTTTTTCTATTTCCCGTACACGGCACCTTCACGGCAGATAATGCTTATGTGGCACGCTCACCAGGCAGCACGACGAGGACCAAACCATCCATGGCGTTCGGACGACAGGCCGGGCGAAGAATTGAGCAAGAGAACATGCGAGGGTATCACATCCCACACTGACCACACGTCGAGGAGTATATACCATTTTCTGTTCATCAACGAAGTGTCGTAGACTATGCCAAGAAAAAACGTGCAAAAACACCATGATCACTCGAACAAACAAGAACACAACAGCGACAACGAGGCGGCGACCGATCGTGGCTCGTTTCGCCCCACTCACGTCTCGCCTCAGCATGCCTCACCGAACCATACGTCCCTTGGTGCCAAGGGCTAGCAGAGGTGCGGAGCAAAGAGGAGGCCTACTTTCTCGCCTATGAAACCAGCAACAACACCGCGGTCTACTTCCTGCGAGGGACGGTTGAGCGAAACAGAAAATACACGCTAACACCACAGCCATGCGCAGGAGGAAAAGGAGACGCTGCTACGCGGCGCCCGCCACGAAAAAAAAAAAAAACGCTCCGCAGGTACGCCCACCCGCCCGACGCTCCTTTATCGTTTAGCATTTTCACACCCGAAACGCTACCCGCGGCAACACACCCCGGCGGCGTGCCCGATAAACAGCCATCATCCCAGCTGCATACCAGTCGTGAACAAGCGACAGCCTTCAAACCCCAGCGCGAGGCCCTGCAGCTCGGCCAGGAGGGGGGGTTAGGGTGGGGGGCAAGTCATCCATAGCCAACCCACACAACGACCTCTCTCCGCCCCCGGCCCCGCCCCACATCCTCATCCGTCCCGCGGCACCGACCCAACCACTCCCAGAAACAAGCAGTGCCGCAGGCATCAAATCAAAGGCAATCATCGTCCGAGTACAAAATGTCTACGGCGAGCCGTTCCACGATAGGATAACCCAATTCTACGACAGCGGGCCGCCGCCGCCTTTCTTATCGAAACGAGAGCATCGCCTGCGCCGCCATGGTTCGCCTCTGGTCGTCCGCCACCACCGGCATAGACACGCCCCGGGGTTGCCGATCCTCCCCGCCTTCCGCTCCGACGGCGCTCTCCTCGCCCTTTTGCCCCCCCGCAGAAACACCGCCAGTACCAGCCGCGGCCATCGCCGCGCACTCCCCGTTGCTCCCGCTGCCGCCGTTCGCGAGGGCGGCGATGGCCGCCGCTACGATGTCGCCGTGGGCCACTACCGGCCCTGGTGGAAGCGATACCTTGGGAGAACGGGGGGCGACGCCTGCGTCAGCCGGGGGCGGAACGGCGGCGTCGCCGCCCTCCGCGGCGGCGGCAGCGGCAGGCATCGCCGCCGCCTGCTGCCCGCCCTCCTCCCCGACGCACACCTCTTCTTCCTCGGCCGCCTCTCGCCCCTGCTCCGCAAGGGGACGGTCCCTGCCGTTGCGTCTCTTGCTCCTGCGAACGATGCCGTGCTCAGCTCCAGCGGTGGCAGTGCTCAAGCCGGGCGAAGCGGTACGAGCAGCGGTGGCCGCTGCTGTGGCTGTGGCCGTAGCGGTAGCCGCAGCCGCAGCCGCTGTAGCCGCCGCCGCGGCGGCGGCGGCGGCGGCCGCAGCCGCAGCGACCGTTCCCGAAATTGCCGTTTTTCTCTCGGGTTGTTGTACTACCCCGTAGTCGGCTGACGGAGCCACAGGGGTCGGCAATACCGGTACTGTCATGACCTCTGCAGGCTGGCGCGGTTCGAGCTTCTCCCTCGTCACGACGCCGGCTCCGACACCGCTGACCCCTGAAACCAACGCAGAACCGTTGCACGCGTTCCCGTTGTTGTTGGCGTGAGCTAGGGGGGGCGGGTCGACGACCACCGCAGTCGGGACGCTCTGGCCGTTTTTCGCTGTATCCCCGACCTCCCGGTCGTCCGCAACTCCCCTAGAAACTGTCCTAGTGCAACCGGACGCCGCCGCGGCCGCAGCGGCAGCGGTAGCAGTAGAAGCGGCAGCGGCAGCAGCAGCGGCGGTGTTGGTGGCGGCGGCAACGTTCCCGGACGGATCGTGTTGGGGCACTTCCACCGCCGCGCTTTGCACGCACCCCCCAGCCCCGTTTTGGGTTGCCTGAAGATTGTTGCTAGCGATCGGGTAGCCGGGCCAAGCGGTCATATTCCTTCTCTCCGGCAGTTGGCTGGCGCCGGCTTCGATCTGCGACGGTTGCGCTTGTTTCGTCGTCACGCCGAGCTCGTGCGACCGCCACCCTTCGATGAGCCCCGCCGCATTATTCTCCCCAACCCCTGCCACCGCCACCGCTGCCGTTGTTGCAGCCCCGTCCGCACTGTTTTGCTCTCCGCTGCTGTGCAACGGCCGGGAGTTGTCGTCCCAGGCCGCCGCCGTTAACCCCACGCCTGACGACGACGCTGCTGACGTGCCAACCCCATCTCCCGCCGGCGGCGAAGGAGACCCTAGGCCGAGACTCGCACCGGTGACCCGAGCAACCGCACGTGTAACTGCCAACGTGTCCCCGTTTGGACCCGGCCACGCTATTGGTTGCTGCTCCCGGGACACCACCATCGCTGCCTGCCTTGCCTCCGACTCCCCACGCGTGGCGGCAGCACTAGCAGCAGCAGGAGCAGCAGGAGCAGGAGGAGCACGAGCAGCAGGAGCAACAGCAGCAACAGCAGCAGCAGGAGCAACACCAATAGCAGCGGAGGCTCCCTCCCCACACCCCGGCAGAGGCGCGCCTCTTTTCGTGTCCGCGATGATCGTGCCGTCGACTTGACTGTTTGGTACCGGTGGTTGAGGTTGGAGCTGCTGCGGGTGCGGGTGCGACGGCGAAGGCTCGTCGACGCAAGCGTTGGCGATGGCCGCAATTGCGGCGGTAGGTTCGGCCATCGCCACCCCCTCCGCCTCCGTCGCTGCTGTTGTAGCCGTTGCCGTCGGTACAACCCCACCCGCGACTTCCGCGACTTCCGAAGCTTGTCCTGAGCACGTGTTTCCCCCCCCCTCTTGGCAAGCTGCCGCCGCTAGTGCTGCCTTGTCCCCCTGCTGTGCCATCGGCGTCGACCCGCCCCCCGTCTGAGCAGTGTTTTCGCCGCCAACCCCAGCAGCAACCGCCGCCACCGTCACCGCCGCCGGTGCTGTTGCTGCCGCATCCACAGGGGCGGCACCGGCCGCATGCACCACAACAGACGGCTGGGGTGGTGACCGAGGGAGGGTAGAGTCTAAGCGTTCCTGGCCGACCACGACTACGCCAGTCGGGGGCTGTGGTCGCTGCTGATGCTGGCTGTTGCTGTCGGAGAACACGTCGTGCATGCTGCGAATTTTCATCTCCAGCCTACGCTTTTGGTCTTCCAAGATGGTGCGCATCTCCACGAGGTGTTCCGCAATGCCTTCTCCGGTGACCTGCGCGAACAGACGGCGAAATCCGCGACAAAAGGGGGGGGGGNGCGAACGGTGTTCGGCATCTTGTGCTTACTTCCTTGCATACGGATGACAGCTGCGTATGACTTGATTCATTTTCTGGTGCTCTCACTTCCAGAAACAGTTGTAAGCACTGTGTAACTGCCTCGAGGGTGCTTGACCATTTTCACACGACGTGGTGCGATCATGCCCCTTGCCCGGAGTGAGGGTTCTCCACCCCGCACAACATGGCCTACTCGACCACCACTATGGTTACCGCCAAAAAAAAAAAAAGCTAAAAATAAAAAACGGTTACCTGGTTGACGAGTTCACGAAGTGAATTGGCTTGTTTTACAACGTTGTTGCCAAGCGACGAAAACCCAACCCCGATGGCAAACGCCGGGCAGGGGGCGCGGGGGGCAGAAACAACTTCCTTAAAAAGACCGCGAAGGTGTACCATGAAGAGGTCCAGAGAGAACAATCACCTACAGATGGCTGGGACACCGGTCACAACACCGCCTCCACCGGCGGCCTCCACCCGCGCCACCGCACGATTCGAGGCACTCGCCCGCTCTTTCACCTAACCTTTTCACAAGAGACACAACTGACACCACGACGACACCGGGAGCGACGGACGGTACATACGTATCGGCAGACTAACCTGATCGAGCATCTTCATCTCCTCCACGCTCAGCACACGCATGTGCAGCTGCCGTAGCACCGCCGCCACCGACGTCATGGGGTACTCAACCTCGCGCTGCTGTACCCCCTCCCCCTGCCGCTCGCCGCCCAGGCTCGTCGACTTCCGACGGCGCGGTTGGACCTTCACGGCGCCCTTCTCGCTGCCGCCGCCTGCCCCCGCCCCCGCCCCCGCCCCAACAATGCCATTGCCGCCGCCGCCGCCCGACCGTGTGTCGCGGGAGAGAGCGTCACTGCCCACGGCCCCCGTGGCTTGCTGTCTCCTCTGGTCTTCCGCGGTAACGCCCTCGGGGTGGGGCGTGGCGTGCATCGACTCGACCTGCAACATGAGGGCGCCCCGGGCGAAAAATGCGATGAGAGCGCTGACCCACGGGAGGCGCGCGTACCCTGGCTATTTTCCAGGCAACGATTGGTTTGCAGCACGTGTGCACGATACACTACACACACACACACACACGCGTTGAAAACATCACCACCCGCTTGGCCTATCCAGTTTGTTCAGCAAACACAACAAGGCATGAACGGACTCTGCCGCCGCTCCGGGAAAAACACGGGCATTATTGGCTCGGTCTCAGAACGACAACAGCGAGGAGCCGTGCCTGGTCGCACGCAGCCTCGCGAGAAACACGAACAGAAAACACCTCCAACTATGCAACTATCGCCTCCATGTGCAACTTGATACATACCCCCGGGCAACACAGCCTGGGGGAAAACCCCCCCCGCTGCCTTCAACGCCGCGCGTGCCGTGCGTCCTCACCTTTCTCTTCGAACGTCGAACCGGAGCGGTGGAAACGCCCCCGCCCGCTCCCAAGGTCGACGGAGCGACCGGCGGGGCCCGGTGGTGCAACCTCGGCCTGCTGTAGTCATTCTCTACCGCCGGTTTTGGTCGTTTGGAACCGGCTGAACGCCCCCCTCTCCCCCTCCCCCTCGCCCTGCCGCCGCCCCGCCCCCCTCGCCCTCTGCCGTTCAACGCCTCCTTGCCGGCCGAAGCCCGGCCGCCGCGCCCGCCGGAGGAGCTCGGCGTCGCCGCGGCAGAAACGGCGACAGCGTCATCGCCGCCGCCGCCGCCGCCGCCGCCGCCGCCCGCTTCCGCGTCGATGCTGTCTCGTCTTCTCTTGAACTTGCGCCCATCCACCACGACGTCCTCCGGCTGGGGCTTCTTTCTCAGGTTGTTCGGCCTCCTGGTGGCATCTTCGGTCGCCGCCGCCGCAGAGTCGGGCGCCGCGGAGGGTGCAAACGTCATCGCTCTACCGGGCGGTAACGGGTGCCCCTGAGGCTCTACTGCCGCCACCGGCGCCGCCGCCGCTGCCGTGGCCGCTGCCGTACCCCCGTCTTCGTGACCCCGTTTTCGTTGTCGAACATTGGGTCTATCTATCGACGACGACGATTCAGCGGCGGCGGCGACGGCCTCGCCACCGCTGCCCGCCGCCGCGAGCTGCGCCGGACATCGGCCAGCGGGCGCAACGGACGAGGTCGACGCGACGGCCACCGGCACTGCCGAGAAGGAAGGCGAGGAGGAAGACTGCGACATGGACGAGCACGCCGGCAGCGGAACGGCCCCAGCAGCGGCCGCGGCCGCGGCCGCAGCGGTAACCGCACCCGTCCCTGCCGTCGCCGTGTCCACCGCCGCTGCCGCCGCCGCCGCCGCCGTCATTGCACCAAGCTCATCGATCCGTTTCTTCTTTTTTCTGCCTGCTTCTGGCGTATCCTCTGCCGCCGTCCCCGCCATCGCTTCAGTAGAAGCGCCTCCTGTGCCGCCCCTGCCGCCGCCTACGCCGTCTCCGCCGCCGTTGACGGCTGCCTTCGCCCCAGAACCGTCCCCCCTCGTCCTGCTCCCGCCCGAACGGCCTCGCCCCTGGAGATCTGGCGGGCGGTCCATTCGAGCCTTCCGGGGAGACGTCGATGACTCGCTCGCAGGCGCAGGCCCGGCGCTACCGCCGGCCCTCGGCGCCCTCCCCGCCCTTGGGGTGCTCGGAGGCCGGCTCGAGCGCGACCGTGCGGCGGCGGCGGTGTCCCCGCTCCACTCGCCCCCTCCGTCGGTCGTCTGCTTCTCAGCCGGGGGGGGCCCTCTCCCAGGCCGAGAGGGGGAACCGGTTTCCTGCTTGCTCTGACTGCCGTCGTCTACGGAATCCGGTGGTCGAGGAGTGACGGCGGCGGCGGCGGCGCCGCCCGGGGCCGACGCCCCCGTTGCACCGTTCGCAGCAGCAGCAGCAGCAGCAGCAGCGGCAGAGACAACAGCCGCTCCACAGGCCGACGTCCTCGCCGTCCCCGGCGCAGCTGGTGGTGCCGCTGCTGGTGCTCCGTCCTTCGTCTCGAGACCCGCCGGGTCTGCCTTCCTTGCTGCGGGGTGTACCCAGCCCCTCTTCCCCAGCGGCGAGTTGGGGTCGTTCAACGCCGCCTCCTTCGCAGCAGCAGCAGCAGCCGCCGCCTCCTTCGCCGCGGCCGCCGCGGCAGCAGCGGCGGCGGCGGCGCGGGGCGACGCGCGAGTCGCCGTCAGCACCACCGCCGGGGCATTCCGCGGGGTCGCCGGCTTCCCGGCCCCCTTGCCGCTGCCGCGCCCCTTCCCGCCTCCCAGAGCATCGAAACCCTTCGCCTTGCAGGTGTCGCAGTACCACTTCCCCTTGGGTACCTCGGTGAGCGGGGGGTCGAGGCAGTACGTGTGGTACTCGTCGTCGCAGTGCTCGCAGAGCAGGGCGAGCTCGGGGTCCTGCTTGCCGTAGCACTTCCGGCACGAACAGAGCGGGCACATCATCACCTCGTCGTCGTCCTGGCAGAAGGCGCAAGCGGCGGTGTTAGCACCACGCCCGCCCGTCCCTCCTCCTCCTCCTCCTCCCGCGGCTCGCCCGGCCGCTTCCCTACGGCCCCCGCCCCCGGCGCTGCCTCCGGCGCCACCAGTGCCGTCCGACGCGCCGGGCTCGGACCCGTCAGTCGGCTGTATGCTCAGGGCTCCGGGGGCTGCGACAGTACCAACAGCTGCTACGGACATCGCGGTGCAGCGCGCGCGGTGTCGGGGGCGAGTGAGAACGACGGAGCTGTGGTTCGAACTCGACGTCAGTGGACGTTCATGCAACAGACAAGATGAGGTGAGTAATGATATTGAAAGGAGTCCGTGAAACAACGTGTTACATATGCATATACGGAAGGAGCACTTCTATCCAACCCGTGTGCGTAGACAAAACATGCTGTACGTACCAACAGGTATGTACAGCACGCAGATCGACAATATCTAAGCCCGCAACGGTTGCAGCGCGACGGTGATTCCTCCATCTCATGTTTAAGCGTCAATCACGTCGAGCCTCCCATTCGACAAGTTGGGAAATGGACCCCCTCCATACTTTTCTGCCTCAGGCACACTCACACTAGTGACCCGTAGGGCTGTAAAATCCTGTCCCTTCTTCCCCCGCTGGCACTGACATATTTCCATTGGCTGACCGCGAAATAGCCAAGTTCACGCAAAAACGTAGCGATTCCCCCCCCACACACACATACATACACGTCGCCCGGTCGATGACCTCAACCGCGACGCACAACAACACGCGCGCACCTGTCTTGGGCGGTGCCTGCGCGCTCTCCGGGAAGTTCAGCTTGGCCTTGGTGCCGTCTGTGGCCTTGACGTGCCGGTCGTAGCACCTCGCCGCCTCGTCGGCGGAGGCGAACTTCCCCAGCGTAAGCCACTCCTTCGTGCCGTGCTTGTCGAAGTGGGTCACCACAAACATGTTGTTGGCCCAGTGGACCCCCCGGTATCTCAGTGCCTGAAAGAAAAAACAGAGCCACCATGCGTGATGGGAGCGGGAAAAGGGGCGGCGGCGGCGGCGGCGGCGGGACAACACGGCAGAAGGCACACAGCGCAAAATATAAAAAAACACAATCGCAACGCCAAAAAGAGAATTACGCAGTATCTACCGCAAAACTCAAGCACATCAGATTTGACGAACAAGCGTATGCGCGGAGGAAGCGC